GGGAAAAAGAGAGAGGGATCTAGGTTATTTTTCCCTCTATAGGGCAAGTCGGGCGCGGGCTGACCAAAATTTTTAGGCAAGCACACATCAATTTTTTTTTTTAGTATTTAAGGATGGAAAATCTGTCGCTAAAACTAGACAAATCTGTCACCATATGGCCTTTAACAACGGATAAATAATGACTGATTAATTCTGTCTGAGAAATTTTATAAAAATAACGGCGATAGAATTTTCCGTTGATAATAAGTAACATCCCATCGTTATAACCTGTTTTGTAGATGGAATTATAAGGACGACCATTTCTATTGCTATATGTGTAAATATAACGAAGGTTCTGTCCGTTGCAATAAATCTGTCGTTAACGGTCCTATTTCTACTAATGTTTAACTGATCTCCTTATCTAAATACTTGTATTTTTTCATAGATAACCATGAGGAATAGATTATAGTTAATTCTTATATATTTTTAATTATGATGTTGTAGGATAAATCTTAACACCTTATCCAAGCATTTTTCTTAACATGAACTCTTTTATTTTCATAATTGGCTAATCCAATTACTAGCATTCTCTTCCTATAGTTATGACAATTCATTTGTAGATAGTTTTTATTACATTATTTTTTGAAAAAAAATTATTTTTGGTCAATATAATTTTGGTAAAATAATAATAATAATGATAATAATAATAATAATAATAATAATAATAATGATAATAATAATAATAATAATAATGATGATAATAATAATAATAATAATTAATTTTAAGATTTCTATTTTTTCAAGATTAGCGTTATAACGGAGAATAGTTTTAAATGCAGTCAATTTTTCACAAAGTAGTGGTTGGAGTTGAAGTTAGGTTACTTGGTTATTTACTCTTAGGTCATGGGTTTGAATCTTCACCTTTCAATTTTTTTTTAAAAGCTAATTGGGTCTGTTTGAACTCGAACCCAACCCGGTTCGGAACCATTATTTAAACCAAACCCATTTGGTTCTAAAATACATCAATACCCGCCCGCTTAGGTCTAAAATACATCAATACCCGACCCATTTGGGTCTATAAGTCAATTTATAGTTTCAATTATGATCAAATATAAATTTTCAGACCCGTTTCGGTTTCTAACTCAAACTGCTAGACTCGCTTGGGTCTAAAACTTAAATTAATAGACATGTTTGGGTTTATAACTCAAAATACTAGACCTGTTTAGGTCTAAAACTCAAATTTCAAACTCGTTTGGGCCTTTTGCTCACTAAAATCAGTTTTGTAAATTTCTATGTTGTTTATTCAAACCCGTTTAGCTGCTTTAACACTAAAAAAATATGCTAATTAGTTATTTTCCTTTTGTTAAGAAGAATGATGCTTATTGGATCACCTAATACTATATTTGATCACCTAGTGACATTAAATAGTGTTGACTGTGCATGAAGATAACTTCCGTCAAGAAATATGATTCATAAACACGTTATCATAACCTGACTATACCCTCAACATCGATATCCCGATGTGAGGAGTTTATCTTAATTATTAATATTATTATAATAGCATTGACTAGAAGATGTACCAGTCTTGAGTGGACATATTTTGGGTCATGGTTATTTTTTATAAATTTTACAGAAGCCGTTCCATGGTAACTCTATAGTTAGTGAACAATATTTCATGCACAACCACTTAAAATAAATGAATAAATGTGGGGTTTATAAAGGGGAATTGGACGGAGAATATAACGTGTATATAAGCGGGCTCATACGCATTCTTGATACCTAGATTTATATATATATATATATAAGAGCTAAGGGTCAATCCTGATGTGAAGGCGTGTTAGGAGACGGTTTACACGAATCCAATTTATATACATGAAAATATTCTTCTCTAATTCAAATAACACCTAAAATATTTATAATGTACTTGTGTGCCTTGTGATAGACATTGTTTGATATCTAAAACTAACACTTTCTTTTATCACCTTTAATTTAAATTTTATTTCTTCTTTATACTTGTCACACACTTACACACACACACAATTTCTTCGTTTTACATGCTTGTTAGAAGTTTTCTGACTCCTTAGAGCTTTTGTGCACCCAAGACACGAGACCTATTCTTTCTTTGTAGGATCGAGTATATTTTGAGGAGAAAGTCTAGCAACAATGATCACCATTTATTCTATCATTTCCTCAGTTCAGTTGGCTTAAGTATTTAGTTGGTTTAGAATTTTTTTCGTGAGTCACATGTGATATTTTCTAGAAAATGATGTAAAA